ATTTACTGTAGCCCGTCGTAATCCCCCCAAAACGAAATATATACACGTTAACACCTCCCTTTAATTAAGATTATAAGCTATGAGTCACATGCCTATTTTAGCATCTGGACATGTTATGTCCAATGTTTAGGTTTTATTCCAATGTCGAAGGACCTTTCAAACAAAAAATGTTCTCCTTGGAGTCCACAAACCCAAACGACAAATAAAACAAGACCATCATCCTCGACCTCAGAGTACAGCCACGACATTGATAAATGATAAATACTGCATTGTATTATTATTATTATTATTATTATTTTCTTTGATTTCTGGCGTTTACACATTCTTTCCGGGTCCCGCCCAGGGACCTAAGGTTAGAAATGGCGTCATGACACTTTCCACTGACAAAAAAAAAAAAAAAAAAATTACATAGATAAAGCCCTTCGTAAGGTGTGGGCTGTACTTGTCAGAACAATTTTTTGTATCTCCTTGAGGCATGGACTTCCAGGAATCCCTTCAATTAGTCTACTGGAATCTTTTCCAACCAGTGCTCCAACTACAACAGGGATTGTTGATGTTCCCATATGCCACATTTTCGAGATTTCTATTTCAAGGATTATTATTATTATTATTATTATTATTATTACTACTATTATTATTATTATTATATGGGATATGAGTGGATGTACGGGGTGTATCGTCAGTGGTAGTACCTTTGCATCAAAGCGGTCGTCTCTGTTTTACTCAGGTGAATTGAGATGCGGAATTGAACTATCTACATCCAACTTTCACACATGGCCCCAACAATTCGCATGGGCACACTGCGACTGCCACACCCCGATCAACAGAATCGACCTGCTGTCTTAACTATGTGAAGGTCGTCGAAATGGTTTCCCAACGCGACTGATGAAGCGAGGCGCCTTTCCCGAATCCACCTGTGCCAAGGGTGTAGGAGCTGCGCCTCTGAGCTCATCGGCTTTAGAAGTGGGCGGATGAACTTCTGAGAAATGAGACGGGGGGGTAACTTCAAGGAACCGGCAGGCCATTGCACTATTCTACCTTGAATGTCATCATAAACCACAATTACAAACGGGCCAGTGGTGATCACAGTGGCGCAAAATGCGCTGAATAAATGATGATGAGGTATCATCTTGCCAGAGAGTAGTTTTAATTCCCTAATTACCAAGTCCCATCTGGGTTCTACGAATAAAAAGGACATTATAAGAGAGTTATCTAAAGATATTTGGGATGTTGTTTCGTTTAGATACAGTGGGTTTTAAGGATATGTGCAGTTCCTCACAAATTACGCTTTTGCAGATGTTGATGTGGCCAGGAATTTTACTCACATGATTTTCGGTACCAGAGGTATAATCGTAGTTTTAACTTTCCACATTTTTTTTTATTTCGATTTGCAGGTCATTATTTGACGGTTTTTGAAATTCTTTTTTAGAACCTTATTGTTATTATTATTACTATTATTCACTCTTGTGGTGCAAAGAGTCGTGGTAATTTACAGATAAGGAAGAAATGGAATCTGTGGAGAGCCATGATCGTCTATATCGTGAAGGAATGTGGTGTTTAAAAAGAAATTATGGTAATCTTGTACCTTCATGTCAGCAAAAAAGGAACGGTTTTTCACTCGACATCGCTATTATTTGAACGACCTTCACTTATCGGCAATGTTTAGTTTTAAAAAGTGATGGTTAGTATTGTCATAAAACCCTAAATATATGATGAAAGAGAATTTTATCCATTTTTTTTTTGTTCTTGAGAATTTACGTCAAAAATATTAAACGTTATTTATTAGATTGTTTATTGAAATGGTTAGAAAAAAAACATCGGCGAATTGCCAATCATTTTGAAAATGGTAAGTTTTCTAATAGTTGGTTCACATATTTTTAATAATTTATAAATGTTTATAGATTTATGAATAAAAAGGTGTTTTCATATTTATTTCTTTATACATTGGTAAATGATAAATACTGCATTGTATTAGTTTTAATAAAAGTGTATTAGTATTTAGAATGTTGTAAATATAAAACTATTCTTGTAAATAAACAGTGTTTAATATTTTTGTTGTAAATTATCAAAAACAAGAAACGGATGAATTCACTTTCATTTAATGTTTAGGTTTCATTCCAATGTCGAAGGACCTTTCAGGTCAAAAAAAAAAAAAGAAAAAGAAAAAAGAATGGTCTCCTTAGCCATCTCAGAGTCCACAAACCCAAACGACAAATAAAGCAAGACCATCATCCTCGACCTCGGAGTATAGCCAAGACGATTACAATTCTAATCATCGCTTTTTAAAACAATAAAAAAAATGAATTCCCAGTTGAAAATAACGTGATTGTACGGTGAACCTGTCCTGACTTGTCACCTATGGATGTTAATTAATGATGACGTTGGATGTTCTTAACGTATGGATTGGAAATGGAAGAAGACACCATCTAAATTTTAAAGAAAGTATCAAGAAACAAACATTTCGTTAGAAACAAAGAAAAGAATGCGAAGCTGTTACGCA